CAATACTTGGATGTGTCAACTACAAATTGGCACTTACCAAGAGCATTGCCAATGACTGAACAACAAAGGCATTTGCCATCTGCCTCTATTGAGATTGAACCCCATGCTGCTATAGCTGTTGACCTTCAACAATTCCTGAGGGAGTTCATGGTGGAGTGAGGCACTCTGTGCTCCAGGGAATCTGGTGGGACAGGTCTTTAGATAGTTGGATGTTTTTAGGAACAGATTTTATGATCTCAAACCTTGTATCTCCTCATATCTAGGGAAGCACTAAATCCCTTCATGGTGACATCAGATCCTCATGAGTAACAGAAAACCTTTTGTAAATTGAGTGCTTCATTGTATTGAACTCCCCCTTCACCAAAACCTTATATATTGACTTTCCCCCACTGCTGCTTTAGAGCAGTCTCTCAGAGATATCAGATAAGCTACCTCCCAGGCTGCAGTCCTCATTCTGCCCCAAATAAAACTTAACTCACAACTCTCAAGTTGTACATCCTTCTTAGTCAACAGATGCAATCTCAAAAATGACAGAATGATCTCTGTCCATTTCCAAGGTAAACCATTCAATATTACAGTAATCCTAATCTGTGCCCCAGCCAGTAATGCTGATGAGGCTGAAGTTGAATGGTTCTATGAAGATCTACAAGACCTTCTAGAACTAACACCCAAAAAAGATGTTCTTTTCATTATAGGGTACTGGAATGCAAAAGTAGGAAGTCAAGAAACACCTGGAATTACAGGCAAATTTGGCCTTGGAGTACAGAATGAAGCAGGGCAAAGGCTGACAGAGCTTTGTCAAGAGATCGCTCTGGTCATAGCAAACACCCTCTTTCAACAACACTAGAGAAGATTCTACATATGGACATCACCAGATGGTTAATACCAAAATCTGATTGATTATTCTTTGCAGCCAAAGATGAAGAAGCTCTATACACTCAGAAAAAACAAGACCAGGAGCTGACTTGGCTCAGATCATGAACTTCTTATTGGGAGATTCAGACTTAAATTGAAGAAAGTAGGGGAAACCACTAGATCATTCAGGTATGACCTAAATCAAATCCCTTATGATTATACAGTGGAAGTGACAAATAGATTCAAGGGATTAGATCTGATAGAGTGCCTGAAGAACTATGGACAGAGGTTCATGACATTGTACAGGAGGCAGTGATCAAGACCATCCCCAAGAAAAAGAAATGCAAAAAGGCAAAATGGTTGTCTAAGGAGACCTTACAAATAGCTGAGAGAAGAAGAGAAGTGAAAAGCAAAGGAGAAAAGGAAAGATATACCCATTTGAATGCAGAGTTCCAAAGAATAGCAAGAAGAGATAAGAAAGTCTTCCTCAGAGATCAGTGCAAAGAAATAGAGGAAAGCAATAGAATGGGAAAAACTAGAGACCTCTTCAAGAAAATTAGAGACACCAAGGGAACAGTTCATGCAAAGATGGGCACAATAAACAACAGAAGTGGTATGGACCTAACAGAAGCAGAAGATATTAAGAGGAGGCAACAATACACAGAACAACTATACAAAAAATCTTTTCATGACCTAGGTAACCACAGTGGTGTGATCATTTACCTAGAGCTAGACATCCTGGAATGTGAAGTCAAGTGGGCCTTAGGAAACATCACTATGAGTAAAGCTAGTGGAGGTGATGGAATTCCAATTGAGCTATTTCAAATCCTAAAAGATGGTGCTGTGAAAATGCTACACTTAATATGCCAGCAAATTTGGAAAACTCAGCAGTGGCCACAGGACTGAAAAAGGTCAGTTTTCATTCCAATCCCAAATAAAGGCAATCCCAAAGAATGCTCAACCAACCGTACAATTGCACTCATCTCACACACTAGCAAAGTAATGCTCAAAATTCTCCAAGCAAGTCTTCAATAGTATGTGAGCCATAAACTTCCAGATGTTCAAGCTGGATTTAGAAAAGCCAGAAGAACCAGAGATCAGTTGGATCATAGAAAAAGCTAGAGAGTTCCAGAAAATTATCTACTTCTGCTTTAGTGACTACACCAAAGCCTTTGACTGTGTGGATCACAACAAACTGTGGAAAATTCTTCAAGAGATGGGAATACCAGACCATCTTACCTTACTTGCCTCCTGAGAAACCTGTAAGCAGGTCAAGAAGCAACAGTTAGAACCAGACATGGAACAACTGACTAGTTCCAAATTGGGAAAGGATTATGTCAGGGCTGTATATTGTCACACTGCTTATTTAACTTATATGCAGAGTACATCATGGGAAATGCTAGGCTGGATGGAGCACAAGCTGGAATCAAGATTGCCAGGAGACTTATCAATAACCTCAGATATGCAGATGGCACCACCCTTATGGCAAAAAGCAGAGACGAGTTAAAGAGCCTCTTGATGAAGGAGAAAGAGGAAAGTGAAAAAGCTGGCTTAAACCTCAGCATTCAGAAAAGATCATGGAATCCAGTCCCATCACTTCATGGCAAATAGATTGGGAAACAATGGAAACAGTGACAGACTTTATTTTCTTGTGCTCCAAAACCACTGCAGATGTTGACTTGCTCTTTGGAAGAAAAGCTATGACCAACCTAGACGGCATACTAAAAAGCAGAGACATTACTTTGCCAACAAATATCTGTCTAGTCAAAGCTATGGTTTTTCCAGTAGTTGTGTGTAGATGTGAGAGTTGGGCCATAAACAAGGCTGAGCATCAAAGAATTGATGCTTTTGTACTGTGCTGTTGAAAAGAGTCTCTTGGACTGTAAGGAGATCAAACCAGTCAATCCTAAAGGAAATCAGTTCTGAATATTCATTGGAAGGACTGATGCTGAAGCTGAAACTTCAATCCTTTGGCCACTTGATGTAAAGAACTGACTCAGTGGAAAAGACCCTGTTGCTGGGAATTATTGAAGGCAGGAGGAGAAGGGGATAACAGAGGAAGAGATGGTTGGATGGCACCACCGATTTGATGGATGTGAGTTTGAGTAATCTCCGGAAGTTGGTAATGGACATGGAAACCTGGAGTGCTGCAGTCCATGGGGTCTTGGATTAAGGAGGCCTGACCTAGGGAAGTTTCATTATATATGAAGCCAGTGACTTGTATTCTCTAAGCTTCAGTCTCCTTTGAAAGGTGCGATAATAATTCATTTCCTATAAACCTCCTAGGAATGCTCATTCAGTCAATCATTCACTCAGCAACTATTTCTTGAGCTCACAGGATATATTAAAAGCAGAAAGCTCTGCTAGTGCAATACAAATGATAAAGCTTGTGGTGGAGGACTGAATACTGACTGGGATAAGAAGGAAAGGAGAAAACTTAAAAAATGGGGCTATGAAGGGTGAATAGGAGTTTAACAGGTAAAGAGTGCTTCTAGAGGGTTGTGCATTGAGAAAATCATGGAGATCATAAGTCAAAAAACAAGAGATGGGAAAAACTTCATCTTTAATCTTTTACATCATGATGTCATAATTCTCCCTTCTAAGATCAAATCTAATGCCCATGATTCAAAAAGCAAAACACCAAAGATTTCCATGAAGAATTACTTGGAATCCAGCTCTCTCAGGGGCCTCCAGTTTCCTCCTGAATAGCTCTCTCACCAGCTTAACTCTAGACCCAACACCATCCTCATTTGTCTGGCCTCATGATGATAGGTGGTTCACACACAACCGATGGGGTCACATTCTGGGCACCTGTCCATATTAAAGGTCAGGGGCAGGTAACCACTTACACTCAACCTCCTCCCTTCACTTACACTCAACCTTCCTCCCTCTTGGGTTCCTCTCAGATCTCGTCTTCCCCTTCCACTTAGACTATGAACAAAGAGACTTTCCTTTATTGGTTCAGAAATGTGGTTTAACACTAGGAATAGTAAAGAGAGTGAGGGACCTTCATCCCATGCTTTTAGAGTGATCAGTCTGAGCCCTTCTGCAACACCAGACTCTAGCGGATCTGCCAAGTTTCCTGTCCAGGACACTCCCATCTAACCCTCCTGCCCTATCCCTGGTCTAGCACTGAATACCACCTGACCCCTTTTTGAAGCAATATGAACTAGCTGAGTGACTTAGGAATCGGGGTGTGTGTGAAGACTGGTCCAAAGGTCTCAGCTGCAGGCAGGAGCTGAGGGAGATGCCATTTTACTAGGCATGTGTGCTGCCGGGAGGTCTCCTGTGTCACCCGGGCCCTAGGCTAGGAAGGGCAGGGGTGGGAAGGAAGGGGACCTGTGCAGAACCAGAAGAGAGCAGGGCTGGGTGCAGAGAGACTGGAGGAGGAGTGCAAGGGGCCTGGTTCTGGTCAGTGCCCAGGGTCAGGAGGACAGGCCTCAGCATGCTCTCCAGGAATGGCAGGGCTGAAGAAGCCCATCGTCACTCAGAGTGGCTGGGCACACATGCCAGAGATTCCAAGGTGCTGTCCTGTGGGGGAGGTGCCACCAGCTGTCCTGGATTTGGGTCTGACACCCGCTCCCAGCAGCCAAGCCTTGTGCCCAGTTGGCTCCTCCCAGACCCTCCAGCACAGCCGCCTGCTCTAGGCTTCTGAGGAGCCAGAGGTGCTGCCTGTGAGGAAGGGCTGCCAAGGGACTGGAGAGAAGGCCAGCCTGGACTCTGCTCAAGTCTCATTTGGGGTGAAGAAGCCCCTTGTGCCTGGCCAAGTCTGTAATGTCTTCCCTGCTCAGCACAGGGTGGGCACTGGCTGGGCCCCTCTACAGATGTGGTGAGGAAGCCACCACGGAAGAGCAGGAGGCTCCTTCCCTGACAGGTGCTTGTGTGAGCGCCTTCCCTCTGAGCCTTTGGAGACAAGCCCTTTCTCCTGACTCAGCTGTCACAGGAGCTTCAGGCGCCAGGCAGCGTGTGGGGTATGAGGAACCCCAGAGTGTGAGGCTGCAGGGGGGCCAGACATACTTTCCCTGCTGGAGTTCTGACCCCACAGAACAGGTGTCATATCCCCTCCTCCTCTCTTCTGTCTTCCCTTCACTTCTCTCTTTTCTGTTTCATCCAGCTCCTTTCAGAGAAGACAAGTACCCTCCATATGACAGTGTGAACTTTATTAAGGGAGGGAAAGAGAGGGGAAGCCACATGACTGACACATGGGTAGGCCCATCGCCCATTGGAGAGAGCCGGGGACAGGCCGATGGTGGTCACATGAGACTTAACAGGTCCTGCAGTGGCTGCCCCGGTGTCCTCGTCCTAATCCCCAGGTAGGAGAACAAGCCTGCCTTATCTGAGTTGTTCATCTAATCACAAAGGTCCTGGTGAAAGAGAAAGTGATGTGAAGACAGAAGCAGAGGGAGGTTTGAGATGCTGCTGGATTCACATAGGGAGGAGGGCCCAGGAGCCATGGAATGCAAGGATTGCAGCTATAGCTGCAGAAAAGGCAAAGAGTGGGACCCTGTCCTAGATTCTTGGAGGGGGAGCCCGCCAACATCTTCCTTTTTCCAGGGAAATCCACTTCCTTTTTCTCACTCCAGAGCCTTCAGAGAATAACTTTGTATTATTCTAAGTCTCTAAGATATTCTGCCCTGTGCTGTCAAGTCCAACTCTTTTCCATTCCATGAACTTCAATCCACCAGGCTCCTCTGTTCATGGGATGTCCCAGGCAAGAATACTGGAGTGGGTTGCCATTTCCTTCTCCAAGGCATCTTCCTCACCCAGATATTGAACTTGAGTCTCCGGTAGCTGCTGCATACCAGATGCATTCTTTACCCCATGAGCCATCAGAGAAGCCCCAAGTCCCTAAGCCAATGGTAAATTATTTTAGAAGCAAATGTACATGAATTCAGGGTCAGACAGGCAGACCGAAGTGGAGAAATACAAGAGAGAACAGGCAGACTGGAGGATGTCAGGTGATCAGGATTCAGGTAGACAGTGAGAGATACAGGGGGTCAGAGACAGATGGAGAGATAAGCAGACAGGGAGCCTGGAGAAAGTTGAGAGGAGAAGGGCAGAAAGTCTGCTGCTGGGCAGGAGGCAGGAGATGAGGCAAGCTGGCAGAGGGCAGACAAAAGCAGGAAGTGGGCAAAGAGGCAAGGACAGGAGAGAGTGACAGCAAGACAGGATGGCAGGCAGGGGCCCTCAGAGCTTGTCCTTGTCTCCATCTGGATCAGACAGCTTCCTGAGCTGCAAGTGGATCCCATTTTTGGATCTCAGCACCATGACTGGAGTGGGCACAGGGACCCTGAAGGGATCCGGTGACAGCTCAAAGCGAAGCAAGGTCAGGGCCACGGCCACCTTCAACTCATTCATGGCAAACTGCTTCCCGATGCAGTTCCTGGGTTGGGAGATAAAAAGGAAGCAAGCAGAGGCTTCTAACCTGGGCTGAGTGCAGGGATTCATGGCTGTTCTCCACGTGGCCCAGCCCTGATTCCTTCCTTACTCATCACACTGACTTGATAGCCAAGACTTGGGCCAAACTCTTCCCCCCGACCTATGACAAATCCCACCTCTCTAAGGACTATCTCCTACCTCCTACTTCTGCTTTCAGCAGGAAATCCTGTTGGGGAGCATCAGTGCTGTAAGCCACAGAGTCAAGTCAAGTGGATCAAGAACTGTGAACTAGTACTTTATTCACTTGTCTACAGGTAACTCCTGGTTTCACGTCAGGCCAGGGCACTGTATGGGGGCAGGGTGGACAGTCTCCTCAGACCTTACCACCTATGGTAGACAGACAGGATGCCCAGTTCCCAGAAATGACAAGACAGGATTATGTAAGGAGTCAGAATGGCAACACGGAGGCTTCCTGGTGGGACATGGGTTAACGACTCTAACCAGCTGACCATTTGCCTACCAATTAATGGTCTGGCTTCCTGTCCCCCTCAACCCCTCAGTCAATCTACTTTTGGAACCTCCCCATTCTAATCCAGAAATGACCCTCCTAACCATCCCTTGGGCTCCTCATCTGGCCTTTTCAGCCTCTATTCCTCTCCTCCCTCTAAAGCCACAGTAGCTCCAGGCCTATTATATTCCGCATCACAGGGAGCACACATCCCAGTGCCTCAGCTGCATCACAGCCCTCTCTGGATTCTTCCTCACTCACCTAGGGTCTGTCCAGCTCCTCCATCTGACTCAGCAACTGTTGAGGTCCCCTCCCTTCACCTTTGCCATCCTCACGCTCATGGCTCAATGCAGTGACCACCACCCTCACCCCCTCTGCTGGCTGCACCTCTTCGCACTCGGGACCCTCAAGGCACCATGGGTGTTAAACTAAGGACACATCACATCCAGTGCCCAGCACAGTGCCAGATCACGAATCCTTCCACAGTCTGCCCAATGAATAAATGAGTGAAAGAGTGGATGTGTGAATGATGTCTGTCTTGAGTAGACTTGTTGATATGTTGACAATGAGCTCTGAGGGAGGACAGCATTATCATACCTGTGTTCCCATCTTATAGCACAGGTCTTGGTACACAGAGAGACGCTTAATACACTCTTTCATATTTAAACAATATTAATTGAAATGAAAACAACTCAAATGGAGTGAGAGAATAATAAATATTCATTCTGACCTAAAACCAAGCTGCCTAGTCTCCCCTGTCCTCTAGTGGCAGCTGTATGATGTGCAGCCATGTCTATAAGGAAGGACTGGACCCTGGTGTAAACCAAATCCTAGAAGTAATTCAGGAAGACCATTTGCTTCATACCTGTTCTGTGAATGTTGATTCACAGTTGAAAATTTTCTAGAACTGTAGAATCAGAAAAACACTTGTTTCTACCTAAATCACAAAGTCACTGAAGTACTATTTCAGAGGAGGTTCTGTGCCCTTTAAGTTCTTCACAGCAATCATTTAGGAGTGTATCATCCAAGTTAATAGCTATTTCAAGTGTGCTTTATACTTTACATGCAAGGGACTTTACAAATGGCTGTCAAATAAAAAATAGTCAGTTTTCTCCTCAAAGCTGACTTGATTGTCCTCCACTTTACTCTTTATCTTGCTAACATTAGATTCTGTAGACTCTGAGACTATGATATATAACTTAGGCTATTATATAAAGAATTTTGGCAACAGGATATGCCATGATTATATTAATACGAAGTCAAAATTATGTCAGATGTACTGTAGAAATAGAGAACACTCTCATGACTGAAACTTATTCAAACAACAACTGTGACTGATCACAGACTTGATTTGAAGCCTCAGGACATGGAAGGCAACTGGAATTCCAAACCCATGCAAACACGATAGATACAGTGAGAGGTGGACTGGTGAATTAAGCAGAAAGGAGTAGACTGACTAGTAATGTGGGAACAGAGGAAACCATCTTTTAAGGTGACTGAAATTGTCCAAACCAAACATGTGTAGTTTAGCTTTCAAGAAGACTTGTAATGTTAAGATGTCATATTCCTAAAGTGAGGAAAACCCTGGATACTTTGGATCAGCCACTGACACGGAAATGAGGTCAATTCTTGTGGACATCAGGAGGTCAATGTCATTGTGGCGGGCCCTGAAGGCCTTCTTGTACATGGAGACCCACACCTCCTTCTCAACACATCAACACACAAGGACAGAACTGCATGCACCTCATACGAATGTAGATAGTCACACATATCAGGTAGCAACCAGTGACACCTGCTTCCCCAGGTACAGAGGTCTCACCTAGATCCTCCTGAGAAGGGCAGGAAGGCATGGCTGTGTCGAGTAGAACCTGGTGCAAACCGGGATGGGTCAAACACCTGCAGAGAGAGCAATGGGGCTAGGACAGTGGGGTCAAACTCTTCACATCAATCCACAGAGCAGGAGCAGGAGCAGGAGCAGGAGCGGCTGGTGTGGAGAGAGCATCCCATCCCCTCCTCACACCACCAACTTGCCTCTGGGTTCAGCCACACGTTTGGGTTGTGATGAAGTCCATAAAAGGAGAGGGAGACTAAGATTCCTGTGGGGTAGAGAGGAGAGAGAGAAGCCTGATGGTCCCCATGGAGCAGGGGGAGTATGTCTTCACAAAATTCCTGGGAGCCACCATGAGAACACCCACCATCACTCTGAATGAAATGATGTTCTTGCAAGACAGGTGGGCTGGGCTTGAAAAAGCACATGAGCTCTGTTAGGAGTAGGTGACCAGGACCCAGGATTGAGAAGTAAAAGAATTGGAGGCTTAAATTTAGGAGTAGCTCAGGTGACAACTCACATTTATCAAGTGCCATCATGACCCTGGGGAATGTGCAATAACTCATTTAATCCTCACACAGCCCTCAAGGAAGGCAGTTCTATCCATATATATATATATATATATATATATATATATATGGAGAAGGAAATAGCTACCCACTCCAGTATTCTTGCCTGGGAAATCTCATGGAGAGTGGAGGCTGGAGGGCTAAGTCTGTGCTTAGTTGCTCAGTCATGTCTGACTCTGTGACACCATGAACTGTAGCTCACCAGGCTCCTCTGTGCATGGGGATTCTCCAGGAAAGAATACTGGAATGGGCTGTCATGCCCTCCTCCAAGGGACCTTCACAACCTAGGAATAGAACCGGGGTCTCCTGCATTGCAGGCAGATTCTTTACCAGCAGAGCTAGGGTCACAAAAGAGTAGGACATGACCCCGTGGCTAAACAACAACTATAATTTCTGGTTCAAGACAGCAGAGGAGAAGGATGTGCACTCATCTCCTCCACGTGAGCATCAAAATTGGAACTAGCTGTTGAACAACCATCAACAGGAGGATGCTGGAACCTAATAAAAAATGATAACCCACGACCAAAGACAAAGAAGAAGCTGCTGCAAGACAGTAGGAGGGGTGCAATCATGATCAAATCAAATCCCATACCTGCCGGGTGGGTGACCCACAGACTGGAAAACAATAATACTGAAGAAGTTCTTGCATTATTGTAAAGGTTCTGAACCCCAAGTCAGGCTCCTCAGCATGGACATCTGACAAAGGGACTGGGAATCCCTCTGGGGAGAGAAACTTGAGGGCCCACAGGATATGATTACTGGCCTTCCAGAGGACTGAGGAAAACAGATTCCACACTTGGAGAGTTTGAACAAAAGTTTGCATGCACCAAGACCCAAAGAGGAGGAGCATTGACCCCACAGGGGACTAACCAAAACTACCTACTAATGTTGGAGGGCCTCCTGTGGTGGCATGGGTCTGCAGGGGCTTACCACAGGGGCACGGGAACTGGAAGTTCCCCCTTGGCATAAACCCTTTTGGAATTCACCATTCACCCTACCATAGAGCCTGTAGACCCCAAGGCTGCATTGCCTCAGACCAAGTAACTACCACGGAGGGAGTGCAACCCCACTTATCAGCAGATAATTGAATTAACTGAGCAGGGCCCTGTCCACCAGAGCAAGATCCAGTTTTTCCATCACCAGTCCCATCAAGAAGCTTATACAAGTCTCAGCCCCATTCAACAGAAGGCAGACAGAAGAAGCAAGATGAAGTACAGTCTCACAATGACTAAAACAAAAACCATATTACAGACAGTTAATCATGATGAAAAATCAGAAAGTTATGTCCCAGATGAAGGGACAAGATAAAATTCCAGAAAAACTACTAAATGAAATGGAGATAGGCTACCTTCCAGAAAAAGAATTCAAAATAATGAAAGTGAAGATGATTCAGGATCTCATGAAAAGAAGAAAGGCAAAGACTGAGAAGATGCAAGAACTGTTGACCAAAGACATAGAACAACTAAAGAATAAACAAACAGAGATAAATAATACATTAGAAGGAATCAATAGCAGAATAACTGAGGCAAAAAAATGGAAAAATAACCTGGAGGACAGAATGGTGGAAATCACTGCTGCAGAACAGATTATAGAAAAAAGAATGAGAAGAAATGAAGAGAGCCTAAACAACATTTGCAGTGTAGGGGGCTCAGAATGAGAAGAGAGTGAGAAAGTACCAGAGGAAATATAAGAAGAAGTAATAGCTAAAATGTTCCAGAACATGGGAAAGGAAATAGTCAACCAAGTCCAGGAAACACAGAGAGTCCCAGAAAGGATAAATTCAAGGAGGAACACTCAGAAACACATAGTAATCAAATGGACAAAGGTTAAAGACAGAGATAAAATATTAAAAACAACAAGGGAAAAACAACAAATAACATACAAGGGAACTCCCATCAGGCTATCAGCTGATTTCTCAACAGAAACTCTACAAGCCAGAATGGAACGGCATGATGTAGTTTAAGTGATGAATGGGAAGAACATACAACCAAGAATACTCTACCCAAAAGACACTTCTTCAGATTTCATGGAGATAAAAAAAGCTTTCCAGACGAGACAAGCAAAAGTTAATAGAATTCAGCACCACCAAACCAGCTTTACAACAAATGCTAAAGGAACTTCTTTAGGTAGGAAACACAAGAGAAGGAAAAGATCTACAGAAAATAAATCCAAAACAATTAAGAAAATGGTAATAGAATCATACATATCAATAATTACCTTAAATGTAAATGGATTAAATGCACCAACCAAAAGACATACACTGGCTGGGTGGATGAACACATGTGCATATATGAACTTCCACTTACCACATCACTCTGCTTACCACCCAAATTTTAGGTAATCATTTTAGTGTTGTTGTTGTTCAGTCGCTCAGTCAGGTTCAACCCTTTGCCATCCCTAGAACTGTAGCACGCCAGGCTCCCCTGTCCTACACCATCTCCTAGAGCTTGCTCAAACTCATGTCCATTGAGTCAGTGATGCCATCCTACCACCTTATCCTCTGTTGTCCCCCTCTCCTCCTGCCTTCAATCTTTCCCAGCATCAGAGTCTCTTCTAATGAGTCAGCTCTTCGCATCAGGTGGCTGAAGTACTGGAGCTTCAGCTTCAGCATTGGTCCTTCCAATGAGGATTCAGGATTGATTTCCTTTAGGAATAACTGATGTGATCTCTTTGCAGTCCAAGGGACTCTCAAGAGTCTTCTCCAACACCATAGTACAAAAGCATCTATTCTGCAGCTCTCAGTCTTCTTTTTGGTCCAGCTCTAACATCCATACATGACTATTGGAACAGCCGTAGCTTTGACTAGATGGAACTTTGCCAGCAAAGTAATGTCTCAACTTTTTAATATTATACAGTGGAAGTGACAAATAGATTCAAGGAGAGTGCCTGAAGAAGTATGGACAAAGGTTTCTGACACTGTACAGGAGGCAGTGACCAAGACCAGCCCCAAGAAAAAGAAATGCAAAAAGGCAAAATAGTTGTCTGAGGAGGCCTTACAAATTACTGAGAGAAGAAGACAAGCAGAAGGCAAAGAAGAAAAGAAAAGATATACCCATCTGAATGCAGAGTTCCAAAGAATAGTAAGGAGAGACAAGAAAGCCTTCCTCGGTGATCAGTGCAAAGAAATAGAGGAAAACAATAGAATGGGAAAGAATAGAGATCTCTTTAAGAAAATTAGAGATACCAAGGGAACATTTCATGGAAAGATAAGCATAATAAAGAACAGAAATAGTATGAACCTAAGAGAAGCAGAATATATTAAGAAATGTGGCAAGAATACACAAAAGAACTATACAAAAAAGATCTTAATGACCCAGATAACCAGGATAGTGTGATCACTCACCTAGAGCCAGACATCCTGGAGTGTGAAGTCAAGTGGACCTTAGGAAGCATCACTATGAATAAAGCTAGTGGAGGTGATGGAATTCCAGTTGAGCTATTTCAAATCCTAAAAGATGATGCTGTGAAAGTGCTACACTTAATATGCCAGCAAATTTGGAAAACTCAGCAGTGGCTACAGGACTGAAAAAGGTCAGTTTTCACTCTAATCCCAAAGAAATGCAGTGCCAAAGAATGTTCAAACTACCACACAATCGCACTCATCTCACACACTGGCAAAGTAATGCTCAAAATTCTCCAAGCGAGTCTTCAACAGATGTGAACCATGAACTTCCAGATGTTCAAGCTGGATTTAGAAAAGCCAGAGGAAGCAGAGATCAAATTGCCAGCATATGTTGGGTCATAGAAAAAGCAAGAGAGTTCCAGAAAAACATCTACTTTTGCTTCATTGACTACACTAAAGCCTTTGATTGTGTGGATCACAACAAACTGTGGAAAATTCTTCAAGAGATGAGAATACCAGACCACCTTACCTGCCTCTTGAGAAACCTGAAAGCAGGTCAAGAAGTAACAGTTAGAACCGGACATGGAACAACTGACTGGTTCCAAATTTGGAAAGGAGTTCAAGGCTGTATATTGTCACCCTGCTTATTTAACTTCTACGCAGAGTACATCATGGGAAGTGCCAGGCTGAATGGAGCACAAGCTGGAATCAAGATTTCCAGGAAAAATATCAATAACCTCATATATGCAGATGACACCACCCATATGGCAGAAAACAAAGAGGAACTGAAGAGCCTCCTGATGAAAGTGAAAGAGGTGAGTGAAAAGTGGCTTAAAACCCAACATTCAGAAAACTAAGATCATGGCATCTGGTCCCATCACTTCATGGCAAATAGATGGGGAAACAATGGAAACAGTGACAGGCTTAATTTTCTTGGACTCCCAAATCACTGCAGATGGTAAGTGCAGTGATGAAATTAAGAGACGCTTGCTCTTTGGAAGAAAAGCTATGACCTACCAAGACAGCATATTAAAAAGCCAAGAAATCACTTTGAGACAAAGGTCCTTATAGTCAAAGCTATGGTTTTTCCAGCAGTCATGTATGGAAGTAAGAGTTGGACCATAAAAAAAGCTGAGCACAAAAGAAATAATGCTTTTGAACTGTAGTGTTGGAGAAGACTCTTGAGAGTCCCTTGGACATCAAGGAGATCCAAGCAGTCAATACTAAAGGAAATCGGTCTTGAATATTCATTGTAAGGATGAAGATGAAGCTGAAGCTGAAGCTCCAGTACTTTGTCCACCTGATGCAAAGACGTGACTCATTGGAAAAGACCCTTTTGCTGGGAAAGATGGATAGCAGGAGGAAGAGGGGATGACAGAGGATGTGATGGTTGGATGGCATCACTGACTCGATGGGCATGAGTTTGAGCAATCTCTGGGAGTTGGTGATGGACAGGGAAGCCTGGCGTGTTGCATTCCATGGGGTTGCAAAGAGTCAGACATGACCGAGCGACTGAACTGAACTGATGTCTACATCCCCATTCCTTCTCTGCAAATGGGTTCATCACTACTATTTTTGTAGATTATCTACATATGTGTTAATATGTGATATTTGTTTTTCTGTTTCTGAGTTACTTCACTCTATAACTGGCTGCATGTTCACCCACCTCACTGCAACACTCAGTTCCATATTGTTTTATGACTGAGTGGTATTCCTTGGAGTTTATGGGCCAGATCTTTATAATCCATTGAGTTGTCAATGGACATCTAGTTTGCTTCCATGTCCTAGATATTGTAAATAATGCTGCAATGAACACTATGGTACACATTCTTTTTGATTTCCGGTGTCTCAGGTTATATTGCCAGTAGCAGAATTGTTGGGTATATGGTAGTATTATTCCTAGGTTTAAAAGAAAAACATTTTTCAAAACTCATTGAAACTGCAGAGTAAATATTATGTTCTGGCAGAAAAGAATCAGAGCACACTGCAACTGGGAAAGCACATGTGGATTTCTGGTCTAACCACGTAGTCCTACAGAGTACTTAGCTAAGTGGTGAGGTGAAGTTCATACCTGCAGGTAAGGAGCGTCCATCAGGGAAGGTGATGGGCTTGCTCAGCTCTCTGCCAATGGCTGGCACTGGTGGATAGAGTCTCAGTGCCTCCTTGATGCACATGGTGGTGTAGGGCATCTGGTCCAGATGGTCCCTGAAAGGAAGCCCATCTGAGGGCAGGCAGGACTGGACAACCAGGGATTCTCTCTAGCTCAGGTGGAACAGGGTTCTTCCATCTCCTGGACACTCACCAGGTGATAGGGGTGTCATCTCCCAGGAGGCTCTGGATCTCTTCCCTGCATCTCTGCTGATGCTTGGGGTGGGAGGCTAGAGCATAGAGGATCCAGGAGATGCCACTGGCTGTGGTGTCGTGACCCTCGAACATGAACGTGTCCACTTCGGCACGGAGATCCTCATCAGACAAGCTGCTCCCATTCTCCATCTGTGGAGGCAGGGCCAGAGTACAGGGTCTGCCCTTCCTGTGTGCTTTTGACCAAAGGCTCAGGCCTCTCCTGCCCACACTTACTCTGGCAAAGAGGAGGATGTCCAGGAAGTCCAAATGCCTCCTGCTCCTCACCTTCTCCAGCTCTCCTTCCTTCTGCAGGCGAGCCTTCCTCTCCTTGATCACTGCATCTGTCCCAGAACAGCATCAGCCAGAGCTGAGGACTCTGGGGGCCCACATGCAGCATCCCCATAGCCCCATCTGCCCCATCAGACCCAATCTGGGTGCCAGGTGGATGTGGGTGAGGGTGGGACTGGGTGAGCATATCAGGACTGAGAGCTCCAGCGTAATCTACTCCAGATGGGAATCCCTGCAGTAACACAGCCCATGGAGGCTCTGTGTGAATGCTGCTGGGAGGGAGTCTCACTCAGTCATCACCAACCTGGTGACTCCTGTAATTCCCTACACAACACTTGACACCTTATCTCTGGGTTCCCAGCCCTGAAGCTGGTGGGTGTGAGCCAGCTCCTGAAGAGGAAGCAGGAGTCTGGGTTCTGCCTGAGGGATTAAGGCCAAGCCCTTTCACATGTGCCTGATGAAGGTATGTGGAGCAGTGCATGAGAAGGAGGAGAACCTGTGTGTTGATGCGTGAGCTGGCAGGCCCGGTGGTTCCTGCGGCCTTCACGGGTCAGCCTGTAGATGAAGTCATTCTGGTAGAAAGCATTCCTCACTCGGGAAAAGCTCATATAGCTGAGGTCCCTGATGGCCTGGATGTAGGACTGGGAGTTCCTGAAGGGAAAGGATTCAGAAGAGACTGGAGTTGAGGGAATCTCTGACCTAGAGAGGGATTGGGGCTCTGGGTCGAGGATTCCTCAGTCAGTGGGGACAGGCAGCACTGAGGTATTGCCATTTCTGTCTTAGCCTGAGGAGTCCCTCAGTATTTACAAGAGTCCTGAGGATCCAGGCTTCTCCCTGCATAGGAAAGTGGGACTAGTGATTGAATCAAGAATAATCTGGGTAGAATTTGACTGTGGTCCATGTCTCTGCAGAACTTACTTTTTGGGCTTAGAAGCCTCTACAGTGCCCTTACTGCCTCTCAGGAAAGTCCTTCCCAGCTGGTGAGAAAAGGACTCTGCTGTTGAAGAGCTGTCACTGACCTGTCGTTCCTGATGCTGCCTTGGTGGCTGAAGGCGCACTTCATGATGGTGTCCAGGGTCATCAAGGAGACATGTTCAAAGATCTCCAGATGTGAGTCCTGGCTGACAAGCTCCTCCCAATTGTCCTGTGGAGGGATGGGGATTGACCCTACTCTTCTTCCCCAGAAGGCCTGGCTTTCTCTCTGTCTCTACATCTTCAGATGAAATTTCCTCATTTTCTAAGCAGACATGTTTTAGCAACTTAGGGCTATAACACACGTGTATATTGTGATTCCTATTTCTTTGAACCATTACTATAGTTGTATTCTCTTCTAATATCCTAATTAATTATGAATGTTAGGAATAATTTATGATATTAACCAGCTGGCAGCTGAGCAGAAAGCATAGTTTCTCGGGGGAGAAAATTTTGTGTCCTGAAATCAGAACTGGACAAGTGATGTCTAACACTACAAAGCAAATATTTCAAGGCAAGGAGAAGCTAAAGTGACTCTAATGGGGCTCTTAGAAGGGGCATGAACTACTCAATTCCTTTCATTCATTTAATGTTACCTAAGACCATGTAAAGGAGTACATCCTTTAACATTCAGAAAACTAAGATCATGGGATCTGGTCCCATCCCTTCATGGGAAATAGATGGGGAGACAGTGGAAACAGTGTCAGACTATTTTGGGGGGCTCCAAAATCACTGCAGATGGTGACTGCAGTCATGAAATTAAAAGACACTTACTTCTTAGAAGGAAAGTTATGACCAACCTAGATAGCATATTAAAAAGCAGAGACATTACTTTGCCAACAAAGCTCTGTCTGGTCAAGGCTATGGTTTTTCCAGTGGTCATGTATGGATGTGAGAGTTGGACTGTGAAGAAAGCTGAGCGCCAAAAAAGTGATGCTTTTGAACTATGGTGTTGGAGAAGATCTTGACAGTCCCTTGGACAGCAAGGAGATCCTGAGTGACATCCTGGGATATCCACTCTGCCACCGAATCTGCCATTGCCCAGGCCAGCCAGGACCAATTTGCACTGATCTCCTTGATCTACTCCCTGTGTTCAGACATAGAGGTGGGAGGCAGTGGACCCTGAATACACCGTGGCCCTGATTTCTCTTGGTGAGGAGAAAATTAAGGATCCAAGCTGTTGCCTAGATGTTCCTCTGTCCCACCTAGCTTTAATGAATGCTGTCTCATACTAAGTCGAGAATGCATCATTCCATGGGGCTCTATTCAATGGACATCTGAGGGACATAAGTGTCTGATAGTGGACTATGTCAGCTGTGCTGGATTCTAGTGCATATGGTGACAAGGGATGGACTCACCAGCATCACTTGGACAGAGTCAGCCATGAGTCCCACGTAGGGCTTCAGGATGTCATAGTGGAAGGCTGGGGTCAGCATCCGCCGGTGCTGGAACCATGTCTGCCCCTCCAAAAGCAGCAAACCTTTCCCTGAACCACAGATGGGTGTGTATGGGCATTGGGGAGAGTGGGGCCACCTTGGGAGGAACCAAGGGTGTCAGGAGAAGGCTTATCATAGGCAGGGGTGGGAAAGCCCCGTATATTTCAGGGATGTGAATTTACAATATGTCTGTCCATAGGATGTGATTATGAGAGCAGTGAGATAGAGGTTGAAAAAGAGTAGGCAGACAGGTGATAGAAGGACTTATCGAAAAGTTGGGCTGGGAACAGTAAAGACTGAGAAGTTATGAAGAAGAGGCTTAGCTAAAAGGAGGGCTACAGCACCATTACAAAGGCTGAGGGTTTTATTAGGAGAAGAGAAATGAGGTTTGATTCAGAGATGAGGGTGCCTGGCACCTGTTGTTCTCCATTTATGCAGAGAGACCACTCTTGGTTAACCTAAGTGGTGGGTGGTCTGCAGTTGTATTTAAATGTACTTACCAATCCAGGGAGTCAAGTATTTGTAGGTTCTATAAGGCTTTGGGTCTGAAAGGTATAGAAGGAATGTGGATGGCAACAAACTCTGCAAGGAGCCTCCAGAGAAGCTGAAGTCTAGACCACGGACTCCCTTCCTTGCTTGGTTCTTGTCAGATGACAATCTTTCTGAAGCCACAGCACTCTTGCCTCCCATCCCTGACTCTCTCTGTCCTGATAGTCGTTGTGGTCTCAGGAAGGTAGACTCGGTGCTCCAGAGCAGAACACCCACAGGACTAAGATGGTGAATTGTCCTGAAACATAAACTCAGTTCACTGCCAGAGAATAAGACAGAACCTGTGATTTTTCTACAGTGTGTGGTCATCTGGCCATCTCATGACCCAGAAGAGGCAACAATGAGAGGTGCCCCACCTAGATCAGTGTGGACAGGGAACAATCTTCCAGTTCTGGGATCATCTCAATTTGTTTACAAAAAGTAAAAAGTAAGACATAAAAGAGAAACCCTCGTCTGGCTTGTGGTTGGGAGGGTGTTTGGAGGGGTTCAGGCCTTGATATCTAAAGTGTCAGTCTCTTGTGGAATTTCACACCCAGGGACATGTACTCAAATGGAAGATTGTCTCCAGCTGAGGGTTTCCTTCTCACCTGATCTCCCCAGGACCATCTTCATGTAGTCAGGGTCGTAGACCAACACAAAGGCCCTGGTGCCCCACAGCCAGCGAACACAGGCACTCGGGTATTTCTCCACCCTCTTCAGTAGGAGTGGCAGCTCACTCTCCTCTTGGTACTGTCACCAAGGGAAAGACAAGTCAATGATGCCTTTCTTTTAGTTCTGGAGCTGAAGTCAGGGTGAAGGGCTGGAAAGGTACCAGGTAATCATTTTGGATCCATCAGCAGAACTAAGAGTTTAGAACTATTTCTTCTGACCTGGAATCTCATCCAACCTTGCAGAATGTCCATCACTGTCCTAAGATTGGATTCTGTCCCATGTCGGGTAGAGGTATGGGCCAACACTACAAACTGCCTACAGAAACTTACATCAAATATAATTACTTGGTTTATGAAAATTTTGGAAATCATTTGTACACAATGACATAATTGCTTAATGTTTGGATGTATATATGTTTGGAATGTATATAGCTAAGTGGAAAAAATTAAATATCACATTGTGTGTATATATTATTATTTTTCATATTGAATGTGTGCACAGTTGTAGGACAGATTCTGAGTGTACACATATGAGAATGGTATTGAAATAAGGTTTTGATATGTGGATTTTTAATCTCATTTTCATTGACTTACTGTCAGAAACTTTGGTACACTTCCCACTGCTTAGAGGAATCTTTGTAACCTGATTATGGACCACTAAGGCATTTCCTTTCTGGTTCTACTGTCTCTACTCTTGCCCTGATGAGGTGGCGATTTCACAGGATGTCTTGCTCTGCCTTCAAGATGCTGCCTGCGCTCCTTGCACTGGCTCCACCTGCTCATCTTCCAGGTCTTTACCCACGTTCTTCCCTCTACCTGGTGGCCTGTCATTTTTACCACAGAGCAACTGCCTCTCCTCTACTTTGGAGGCTGTTTGTTTTGTTACCTCTGGATTTCTCATCAACAGTTGGTCCCAGGTGTGTTTCGTACAGTCAAATTGTCTTCATTTCAATGACTCTGTGTAACTCAGAGCAACCTTCTGCCCCTTTGGTATCTGATCTCCGCCTACATTCTTCTGCCATCAGAACTCCCCAGCTTTGAGGCAACTTGTACTGTGGGTCACGTTCCTTCACTGAGCCTGTGTTTACTGAGCATTTACTTTGTGCCAGGCATGGATTTAAGGTACTAAATTAGGATGCTGCTCTAGATGCTCATCTGTTTGGACCCTGCAGGCTAGTGGGGGAGACTGAGAAGTTAAGCAGCCAAACAGGAGTGGGTCATGAATGTGTGATGGAGGGAAGACAAAGCCTGTTGGGAAGCTTTGGGGAAGAGGGTCTAACTCAGACCTAGATGTTAGAAAATCTTCTTCCTGCACTTCCTCATTATTTGACTCATAATTTACCAAGATGCTTTCAAGATAGAAAAAGGAAACAGAGGCAGGCTTTTCAGAAGAAGCTCATAGCTATTATCTTGCAGAGAGAAAGAGCTGAATCCAGTTACCACTGACTAGTGAGGAAGACATCCAAGGGGAAAAGAGTTGTCCTCTCCTCTCCTGGGAGACTCAGGATGAAAATGACTTGGGCCTGGGGCTTGTGAGAAAGTCATGTGAGGAATGAGATCACTGCAGGAAGAAGGCACATGGGAGCCAAGTCCCAGAGGCTGGAATGCACAGGCCAGGGGGGAGGACCTTGAGTGACCTGGGGTGCAGGAGATTAGGAAGGAGAGGGGAGAGAGACACTGAGCCAGCCCGCATGGGGCTTGGACTGCTTCTAGTTCTTGTCCTTGTCTCCACCATGCTCTAATCATGCTGCTGAGAAAGAGAGACCTCAGATTTTTTTAACCTGTGATTGTCTCCTAATACTTGTTTAAGCCACAGACCCTTGGTGAACCATTTCCACGTGGCCCCTGATTTTGCTCTGAGCTCCCCCCACCTCCAGGCAAGTGCTGCCCTCCCAGCCTGCAAGCTGCTGCTTTCCGTCCTTGCTGTCCCTTCACACAATGGACTGACACCCCTCTGTGCAGGCTGGGCTGGGTGCTGACGGTGAGGGGGATTACAGGCTCAGTGCCAAGAGCTTATAGTCCAGAGAGAGGATACCAGGCAGGCAGTACCTCTCACCTGACCCCATACTGGGAAACTGTTTCTGCGTGCCAGCAACGTGTCAGGAATTAAGCCATGTAAGTGCATGTCTGGAAAAATCCCTCAGTCCTAAGAAACCAAGCCAGTTTTTTCTAATACCTGACATAACATGACCCAGGAGGTGAGCCTCTTTTCTGTGACCTGCACTGTCTTAGATTCCTGTCTGTTGTCTCCACACACAGTGAACCCACAGGGCTGATCCATCAGACTGACGTCTGTGCTCCCAGGCAAGCTCAGGGCCAGGCAGGGAGCATGCAATTGAGTGATGAGCAGGGAAGCATCTAGAAGCCTGTTCTGTGAGGACAGTTGAAGCTGCTCTGCCTGGAGAGCAGGGAGAATCAATAAGGAGCAGCCGCTGTCCTCAAAGGGCAGGGTTTCCAGGTCAGCCTGAGGTCTCCCTGAGGAAGGGGTGTCTGGCAGAACGGAGGGCACCAGTACAGGGCCTGGGAGGAGTGAGCCCCGAGGACTGGGTGAGGAGCCTGGATCTAAGATATAAGCTGTGTGACTTCATGGGGCCATGTGCTGGTCACACAAGAAGGCTTTGTCCCATGGACTAACTGACCATGACCATCCCTTACCCAAGCCCTCCCGGCCTTCCCATTCCCCCATCCTGCTCCATCCTACCTCTTTCTTGTGTCCATAGAACCAGTGGGAAGGAGGACACGGGAACTGATGAAGGGCTTTGAGCAGCCACTGTCTGCGCAGGTAGAGCTGTGCCACCTTGAGCAGAAGCAGAACCAGGCCGAGCAGGGAGACCACCTGCAGGATCCCAGAGACCCCGCCTAGGGCTCTCATGGGACTCAGCACAGAGACACTCATGGTGCAGTGGCTTCTGGATCGCTGACTGTCCCTGACTGTGGCTGACCTTCCTGGAGCACCTAGCTAGGTCTAGGAAAATTTCCCCGCCCACATAGGGGAGGGCGAAGGTGAAGATAGATCTCACACCTGGGCCTCCAGAGATTTTTTTTGTGTTAGTGTTTGGTTTCATTTAATGTAATCTCTCTTATGTTACAAAATGTAGAGAATAAAAAAGAGAAGATAGTATTTATAACATGAAGGGGGAGTTTGGGTTGTTCCAGGATCCTGCAAACTATCACATGCTTATATTTTTTTAAAAAAATAATTAGACAATTTGAAATAAAACAGAAAAGTAAATGTTTTTTGAAGTTTCCTGATGTCTGAGTTCCCTCGATGTTTACCTGAAACTATCATACATTGTTAACTGACTATGCTCCAGTACAAAATTGGGCTGGTAGTTCAAATGGTAAAGAATCTGCCTGCAATGCAGGAGACCCAGGGTTCGATCCATGGGTAGGGAAGATTCCCTGAAGAAGGGAATGACACTCACTCCACTATTCTTGCCTGGAGAGTTCCATGGACAGAGGAGCCTGACAGCATATCTATAGATATCTATAAATAGATATCTAAGAGGTTAGGCTGTCAGAGGAGCCTGATGTCTAGACATCTATCCTCTTAAATTTTTAAGTGTGTAATACAGTACTATTTTCTATCCCCAAACAAATTTGCAATTTGGGGTTGCAAAGAGTTGGACACAACTGAGCGACTAATGCTTCCTTTTCGATAGAAAATGAAAAGGTTTAAAAAAATGCAGATAAAAAATGGTCAGACATTTCTTTTTTTTCCAGAGCTCCACATATGTTTCTAATGAGCAGTCATATTTAAAATCAACTGGACTATACGATGATCTTTTACTTTTATCTCGTTTGTTTCACCTTTTCTATTTCATATTCAGAACTCCCATTTCATTTTGTTTGTTCCCCAATTCCTCCAACTCTTCTTTGTTTCTTTTTTTTTTCCATTTATTTTTATTAGTTGGAGGCTAGTTACTTTACATCATTACAGTAGTTTTTGTTATACATTGAAATGAATTAGCCATGGATTTACATGTATTCCCCATCCCAGTCCCCCCTCCCACCTCCCTCTCCACCCGATCCCTCTGGGTCTTCCCAGTGCACCAGGCCCGAGCACTTGTCTCATGTACCCAACCTGGGCTGGTTATCTGTTTCACACTAGATAATATACATGTTTCAATGCTGTTCTCTTGAAACATCCCACCCTCGCCTTCTCCCAGAGTCCACAAGTCTGTTCTATACATCTGAGTCTCTTTTTCTGTTTTGCATATAGGGTTATCGTTACCATCTTTCTAAAGTCCATATATATGTGTTAGTATACTGTAATGTTCTTTATCTTTCTGGCTTACTTCGCTCTGTATAATGGGCTCCAGTTTCATCCATCTCATTAGAACTGATTCAAATGAATTCTTTTTAATGGCTGAGTAATATTCCATGGTGTATATGTACCACAGCTTCCTCATCCATTCATCTGCTGATGGGCATCTGGGTTGCTTCCATGTCCTGGCTATTATAAACAGTGCTGCGATGAACATTGGGGTGCCAGCAATCCCACTTCTGGGCATACACACCAAGGAAACCAGATCTTCTTTGTTTTTAATGTTCTTTGTCAAGCCTTTATCAAGTGTAGTAGAAAAGACTTTGTATACATACATATATAAATATGTATAATACATATATTTTAGAAAACATGAAGTTTTGCCTAACTAAGAAACGTATGACATTTTTATTCCACTTGTTTGACTTAGTATGAATAGAAGGCTATATTTCTAATTTAAAAATAGATATACAACAAGTAACAAAGGTTTACTGTATAACATAGGGAAATGTAGTCAATATCTTGTAATAACCTATGATGGAAAATAATTTCAAAAAAATATATGTATTTGTATAACTGAATCACCTTGCTGTGCACCTGAAACATTGTAAGTCAACTATATTTTAATAAAATGTATATATTTATTTAAAAATAAAGCTTCCTCAAATAACTGATACCTGTGTTATCTTATTTAACATTTGATGTTGCACAGAACCAGAGTTGAAGTCTGTAGTAACATCTAGCTGTGGAGTACCTTACAAGACCACATGGCTCATTTTCATTCATCCAACACAACTGAAAATTCTACTTCTTTTATTTAAACCCTCCAATAGGTTAATACACACTGAGGCTATGGATGCTTATGTATTTTCTTAAGTTTGCAGTGACTTGTCTATGTGAATATCCCTATTTTCCATCTTAAGAGATGAGAGAATATAAATTTGAAATACAGTGAAAGATAACTACTACTGAAATATGAGTCTTAGTTTTTTGTTTTTTTAAATTTGGGATCATGTAATCAAGGTTTAAGAAATTTTATTCAAATCTTTTGCTTTAGTTACCTTTTGTAGCCTTCAGTTTCTTAAAGCAAGTTTCCTTTCTGAGTTATTGTTTTCATCCTGTTGTTTATTAATCATTCGCTTCACCTATGTTTTTCTGTTGGGATAGATAAAGTAGTTAGCTGAGAATCTTGTAATCTTTATATTGTTAGCTATGTTATAGGGGCAGCTTCTTTTGTTATATATGAAAGTCATCCTGAATACAGTGTTTTTTTGGTAAGAAAAAGAAAAAAGGCCAAAGAAAAGGGGACAAATTAAATTTCCATTAAAAAAGTCCTAATCAGCAGTGACAATGTGAGGAAAGAAGATTCCACTTGGTCATTTTGGAGAGGCACTTAGGTTTGGGGTCAGTGTTTCTGTTAACGACGACTAATGTCTTTCTGGGAGTAAGCACGTACTCCAACATACTCTCCAGCCTAGAAAGATGGCACTCAGCAATAGGCATCACTCAGCAAAACCATTCAGATGTTCTAAAATAAAGGCTTTTCCATGCAATCAGTGTGACAGTATTCTCAAAAAAATGCAAACATAATTCTAAGGCATGTAACAACACATTTTAAGCTCTTTTATGTCAAGTACTAGGAGAAACTATTTTAAAATTAAAATGTAGATAAATGAAGCAATGTAAGATGTGCTCCCTACTGTGTTACTTCCAGGAACAGGACCATGTATTGCTGTTATTGTTCAGTCACTAGGTTGTGTCTGACTCTGCTACTCCATAGATTGCAGCACTCCAGGCTTCCCATCCTTCACTAGCTCGGGGAATTTGCTCAAATTCATGTTCATTGAGTCAGTGATGCTGTCTAACCAAGTCATCCTCTGCTGTCCTCTTCTCCTTTTGCCTTCATTCTTTCCCAGCATTGGGGTCTTTTCCAATAAGTCGGCTCCTCACCTCAAGTGGACAAAGTATTGGAGCTTCAGCTTCATCATCGGTCCTTCCAATGAATATTCAGGGTTGATTTCCTTAAGGATTGACCGGTTTGATCTCCTTGCAGTACAAGGGACTCTATGAGTCTTCTCCTAGACCACAATTTGAAAGCATCAGTTCTTTGGCGCTCAGCCTTCCTTATGGTCCAACTCTTACATCAATACATGACCACTGGAAAAACCATAGCTTTGACTATATAGACTTTTGTCAGCAAAGTGATGTCTCTGCTTTTTAATATGCTGTCTAGGTTTGTCATAGCTTTCCATCCAAGAAGCAACCGTCTTTTAATTTCATGACTGCAGTCACAGTTCCCAGTGATTTTGGAGTTCAAAAAAATATCTGTCACTGCTTCTACCATTCTCTTTCTATTTGACATGAAGTAATGAGGCCAGATGCCATGATCTTGGTTTTTTTGAGTGTTGAATTTTAAGCCAGCTTTTTCACTCTCCTCTTTCACCCACATCAAGAGGCTCTTTAATTCCTCATCACTTTCTGCCATTAGAGTGGTATTATCTCCATATCTCATGTTGATGATATTTCTCCAGGTAATCTTGATTCTGGCTTGTGATTCATCTAGTCCTGTATTTCACATGATGTACACTGCCTAGAGGTTGAAGAAACAAGGTAACAGTATACAGCCTTGTCTCACTCCTTTTCCAGTTTTGATCAGTCCGTTTTTATTTTTATTTTTTCATCTATTTTTATTAGTTGGAGGCTAATTACTTCACAACATTTCAGTGGGTTTTGTCATACATTGACATGAAAAAGCCATGGAGTTACATGTATTCCCCATCCCGATCCCGCCTCCCACCTCCCTCTCCACCCGATTCCTCTGGGTCTTCCCAGTGCACCAGGCCTGAGCACTTGTCTCATGCATACCACCTGGGCTGGTGATCTGTTTCACTATAGATAATATACATGCTGTTCTTTCGAAACATCCCACCCTCACCTTCTCCCAGAGTCCCAAAGTCTGTTTTGTACATCTGTGTCTCTTTTTCTGTTTTGCATATAGGGTTATCATTACCATCTTTCTAAATTCCATATATATGTGTTTGTATGCTGTAATGTTCTTTATCTTTCTGGCTTACTTCACTCTGTATAATGGGCTCCAGTTTCATCCATCTCATTAGAACTGATTCAAATGAATTCTTTTTAATGGCTGAGTAATATTCCATGGTGTATATGTACCACAGCTTCCTCATCCATTCGTCTGCTGATGGGCATCTAGGTTGCTTCCATGTCCTGGCTATTATAAACAGTGCTGCGATGAACATTGGGGTGCACGTGTCTCTTTCAGATCTGGTTTCCTCGGTGTGTATGCCCAGAAGTGGGATTGCTGGGTCATATGGCAGTTCTATTTCCAGCTTTTTAAGAAATCTCCACACTGTTTTCCATAGTGGCTGTACTAATTTGCATTCCCACCAACAGTGTAAGAGGGTTCCCTTTTCTCCACACCCTCTCCAGCATTTATTGCTTGTAGACTTTTGGATAGCAGCCATCCTGACTGGCGTGTAATGGTACCTCATTGTGGTTTTGATTTGCATTTCTCTGATAATGAGTGATGTTGAGCATCTTTTCATGTGTTTGTTAGCCATCTGTATGTCTTCCTTGGAGAAATGTCTGTTTAGTTCTTTGGCCCATTTTTTGATTGGGTCAT